GCCTATCTGATCAGGTATAAAGTGATTTGGTTAGTTCCAGTCATATGTCAACCTCGAAGCATGTGAGTGTGCCTGTATCTGTATGTGTATGGGCCTGTATGAGATTACCTGTCCAGGAAACCGTCATTTATGACTCAAAGTAATAAGAACAGCTAAATTTACGTCCGTTCTCGACCGCCTGCAAAAAGGAGGCGACTCAATTAGCCTTTTCTTGTCTTGGTTCTAATAATAATCACTTTCGGTACTTTTAGCCAACTCTTTCTCTCTCACACGAAGACAAAAAAGGCTCATCAACATAACAAAACGTGTGTTTGATCTTGCGCAAGCGGAGTGTTAGTTATAACATGTATGCAGAAAGGGGGAGCTAGTAATATTCAAACCTTGATGACCGAGAAGAGACGTTACTTTTGCTGTACTCATTACTTTGAGCCATCACTGATAGTTTCGTGCATAGGCGAACTCATACAGGCACATACACATACGGAGAGAGACACACTCACATACTTCGAGGTTGGCATATGACTGTCACTAACCAAACCACTTTATACCTCATCAAAGAAACCAGATATAGAGTATATATGCGGCTTTTTATGGATTTGCCGGTGAGTTTTCTTGACTTGTAAGCTTGAATTAGGCTGTGACGATAATACCTTGATCTGATGATGTGCGTCATATGACGGACGAAAGCTTAGCACCTTTTCACCGGAATCGAAGGAGATTACCTCGGAAACAACGTCAGCATGAATGTTTCAGTAAACCAATTGACAGCTGGTCAAGAGGAATCCACCGTCACCTTCTTGTGAAATCGACCTTCGAATCTCATCACTAAACACTTACATTGAAATGGAAATAATCTCAAAAAGTATGTTTTAGAAAGCTCAACAAGGATTCATTGGTGTCATAAAGCGGTGGGTAGAGGACTTATTCGCTCAAATCTACAATCACAGCTTCCGGTGGAACCAACTTACCAATCCCTTTGACTCGCCTCTTCAAACGAAATGAACGGTACTCTAGCATCAATTGAAATTTTCTTTCATATTTCCTTGCCTACTAAAATGTATTCATATTTAAGCAAACGGAGACTGCAGTTTCCACCTCGCCTAAGTCTCATCAACAAGTTACACAAGTTGCGAGAACCATATCAAACCAACACTATACAGCTAGATGCAACTGCGACCAAGCAAAAAGCCACGCCCTCTTGGTCTCCCTATATACATCATATCTTGGCTTAGTGCATCTTTACATTTTTTCCTAATTTATTACGCTTAGAGACAGACTAGGGCCTAACTAGGATTTTTTTGGAGCCGTGGGACTGCAAGTCGAGTTTTTCGTTGCACAATCCTTTAGTCTCCACTCCACAGTTTCCCGTGAGGCTAATCGACGTATCTTCTCAAGCAAAGTTATCATTTTAAACAAAAGGTAAGTCATTTCAAATATATATGGGATCTACTGGTAGTCTCGAAAATCTATTTATAAAAGAAGAATACAAAATACATGCTTGTCTCGTTGACAGTCCCATCATAAATGTGATTTGGTAAGGGGTTAGCTCCCCTTAAAATTCACATCTTTCCGATGCTCAAAATAGTACCTGCAGCCGGGTAGCATATTATCAGGTTGAGGCAATGGCATTGTGAGATTGGCTCATATAATTTTGGACATAATTCCACTATGTCCATTATGTTAAGTTGGCCAAAATGTAATTTTTTGCCGTTCCTTATGCAACGCTCGAAAAGGGATCGCAGAAGGAATTCGCTGTTGTAGCCTGATTTGCGCTCACCAAAAAAAGTAAAATCTGAACAATGAACAATCTTCGTAAATTTCGAACCTTAGTAGAAATTGGCATGAAAGCAAAATTTGCCTCAATAATCGTATATACACTTCTTCCTAACAAAAACGTTCACTCTGGACAGATTACAACAGGGTCTAATGAAGGAATCTATCGTTCGGTCGGTTTCATGCTGCGAATGCTTAAGAAACCAGATCGGTGCTGTCTCGCAATGGAAAATCTGCGACACGCACTAATTGCCAGTGGCAAATGAATGCCTATCCCCCCCCATTGGAGCCAGGAAATAGAGCCTGCTTTAGTGTACCAATGGTCTTCAGATAATTATGGCGGATAGGCTAAGAATAGAGTTAATGAAGAGCCATAAAACATGTGTCAACTTTAAGTGAGTGGTCAGGAACGTAATGAGCGAGAGTGTTTCTAACATGTGGCAATCTGCCAGTGATCTCTAAACCTCCATTTTAGCCTGTCTTTGAACATGATTTGAGGGGTCGCAGCGACTTATGATGATAATAGGAGATAAATACACAAAGAATTATCTTCGAGGTCATGGAGTAAAGAACAAATATGAGGATGGCGGAAAAAGTGTGAATGAGAAAGGACGATCACCAGGATAGAATATGCTTATTCTGTCGTTCACGTTTGTGAATAATTTAGAATTTGTTGAAAGCGATTGAACATGTTGCATAAGCCCTAGGCCATTATTAAACAGATATGATGCATCTGGACTACTGCATTATCGGTCAGGCCCACGAGAAAATCTGGCCGATGAAGGTGTCTGAATAGAAGGTATGAATATCAAGATAGTATGT